TAGCTCAAAAACTGACTCTTATAACATGTGATTTAAAAAGTAAAAAACTACGCTCAAGGGCGTCTGGGGAATGACAATCGATGATAATTTTGGCGAGGTCAATTCTAGACGTCATTTAGTAAGTATATAAAAACTTCAATATTAACACTAATTATAGAAAGAATAAAAAGATAGAACCGGTTCTAGACACACAAATCTATTTCCAAAAAATATTGTCTTCCTGTAATTTTAAACTACGCTATTTAATAATCCGTTTTACTCAATATAAAAATAAATTAAAATCCTTAAGGGCAACTGGCAATAAGCGCCATTAAACAATAAAGAAGAGGACGGACAAGAAAATGAAGTCTAGGGCTTGAGTTCGCAAAAATTGTCATTGTCATTCCCCAGCCGTTCATGACGCCGTTTTTTTTCGACCGTAGGGTATTTTATAAAAAAAAATAGTAGCCACTGCGAAAACCGCTACTTCCTATCTCCGTTCATAAGGAATAAACACTATAAAACATGAGATACCCATGTTAAACGGTTTCGTCATTTCCACATTAGTTGCAATTAAGGGCTTTCTCGCTTATTAGTAAAGAATACTAAATAAATGTCGAACTCGTTACTTAAATGAACGCATTATTTTTTTCTTGAAAGCAAAGATAGAGTACACAAAATTGTCATGGCCCTCTTAGTTTCCATGATACAATGTGTTGCAGTTTTACACACACCTCATATTATATAAGTATTCTGGAAAAAAAAATAAAAGCAGATTCATATACTTAGGACATATTATATTGAGAAATAAAAAAAAAAAACAAGTTTTTTTAACATTTTTCATCACACACACCCTGTACACTTGTTAAAAATAATCTTAAAGCAGAATTAATAATTTTAAAATAATACAAATAAAATTGACATGGGACCATGGCGAAACCAATTTTGATCTATTTAATTTTTCAAATGAAAGTTTAAACAATAAAGGAACTAAAAAGAAATACAAATATGTACTAGAACAATGGGGTAGGGGTATATGAAAATTTGTATTAAACTGTTCTACCTCTAATTAAAAACTGTGACTTATGGTGGCTTGTGAGAAGATACACTAATATCCTGACAAATATACGGGCTGTCCCATTAATAGAAACTAAACATTGGTCGATATTAAAAAAAAAAAAAAAAAAAAAAAAAAAAAAAAATTAAAAAAGAAGTTCCATAGCAATTTGTTTTTAAAATTTATTGATAATTTGTCAGATTACTGAAATAGGAGATGCATCTGAAACTGTAACATTTTCAAAATCACCCTGTATCATAGAAACTAAAATGGGACCATTAGCAATTCTATTTCACTTAAAATCAAGTTTATAAAATCTCAATGTCCTATCCTTACTAATGAGCGAGAAAGTTCAATTGGACAGTCTGTACAACATTATTGATTGATAAACTTTTTCTAACAAATTGCCAATACTTTCAATGAAAGACCAAAATTGGAAATGATAAAATGACAGAAAATACACTCATGAGGAAGTGACAAATATACCATTCATATGAGTATACCAAACATTGCGTTATAATTTAGAGCATAGCCGTTAGTTTTTCTTTGATTACAATTTAATAAAGATTACTCAATGAAAAGCTTTTTACAAGGTTTGTTGTTTATTTTCCATTTAAACTAATATAACATTAAAAATTGCATAAATTAATTAATCGCTCATCGCATGAATTAAAATTATACAAAAAAAAATTGAACTGAATAGTTGATAAATAAATAAAACATATTAAATAACAAGGTAAACTCCTAGTTAACTGACATTTTAAATGGCTTTAATATGTGCTCTAGTATTACCAGCATTTTAATTATATATAATATAATATATTCTACAAAATTAACTTTTAAGGTGTTTGAATGAGTAAGAATCGATTAGGCAACCAGTAATACTAAAATATAAAGAAATTGAGATAACTATTTTCAGATGATTTTTCTATGTAAAATGAGCTTTATATAATTAATTTACGCAATTTTCTATTGGAGTACAGTGGTGGATTAATCATTACAAATTACAAATCTTAATCCCATCACTGACTAAATATTTAAAGATTCCAAAACTACAGTTTACAGTCTTAAAATTAGTTCAGATAATTGATAAGTGCCATTAAATAAATTATTCCAGAAAAAGCTTGCGAGATGCATACAAAGCAACAGTATCTAAATATAAGAATGTTATTTAATGTAATTTATTTGTGTCGAGTAATTTGAAGTAGTAATTACCTGCCATTAATTTTTTTTTAATATATTCTACTTTCAAATATCTAGATATATTTAATTTCTAAATATTCACAATGCCACAATTTTGTTATTTATAAAGTATATTATTATAAAATTAAGGGTGTTTTATTTAAATATCAGAGAAAGACATTATATTATATTTAGTTACCAACATATAAAGTATTTTGGTATAATTTGTTTTGATCTTCTGTTATATAAAATATTTTCAATTAGAAAAAATATGCCTTTATAAAATTGTGAAAGCTTTAAAAATGTACAGGAAAAATCTAAAATAACAATAGAATTAAAACTTGAATAACATTTAATTTAAATACTACCAATATAAAGCAAAAATATATTAAAAACAACCTGTGTATATCTAAGAACTGGCTTTAAAATATGGTCTACTGTAACTTGTAGGTTTTATAAAAAAAAATCAGTGAAAATCTCAAACTGAAGACCTAACATAATTATTTTTGGAACATTGGGCCACTCTGTAGTAATATAAATTATTCTTTTTTACCTACTAAAAAAAAAGATTCTTAATTAGCTGATTAATTATTAGACACGCCAAAAAAATATTTAAAATGAAAAAAAAAACGTAAACGTAGTGCTAGGAATCTCTAAAACGCTTACAAAATATAGATGTATACAAAAAAAATTATAACAAAAATACAGCAATAGATCACAATAATATATAGAAAACAGATAATAACATTTGTACAGAAATAGTACAATATTATCGAATAAAAATGGCGTCGGCGATGGCTATGAAATGAAGATCGCTGTCATTTTTTATATAAAATTATATGGGAAATGTAATTGATGTTATTTCCAAGCCAACTGGACGCCGTTTTTTTTTGATCATGAGTAAAAATGATACTTTTTGCGGCGAGACACTAAAAGTAATTCTTACTTCGAACAGAACATGTTCTTTTTTCAAACGTTATAAATAATGTTTTAAATGGTTTTAAACAATTTCAAACGTTGCAAAAAATATTAAAATATTTAAAAGTAATATGTTGTAAGTAATTATATATCGAGAAACTATGGTTACGCTTGTTAAATTTGACACTTAAAGTCAGTTTGATAATAATTTTTGCACTTTTGTGTTTAAGCGTAAAAATTACTTTTTATATGTCAATCTTTGTCATCATGTCGCAAAAATTAGTAGTTTTGTGACGTTTGAAAAAACATATTGTATTGAAATACTTTAATGATATCTCTTTGATAATAATAGGGATCTTCAAATTTATTTTGCTTAATAAATGTTATAAAGTAATACCGTATGATGAAAAAAACGGCCTCCAGTTGGCTGGGAAATGACGATCGATGACATTTCCCATATAAATTGACAGTGATCTTCATTTCATAGCCATCGCTGACGCTGTTTTTTCTCGATCATACGGTATTTATTTTCAACAAAAAATATTTGAAAATATTCACTATTCTTAACAAAATATTAAAAACAATATTTATAAAATTCTAATACACCAAATAACATACAAAATTAGAATTAAAATATATCTTTTTGTGACATTTAAGTGGAATGAAATCTATGTCAAAAGATTTTAAATGTTGAAGGACCAACTGAAAAAAGATATATGACACATATAAAACTAGAATTATTATTTTTGTGTAAAAATGTGTTTATCTTAAAATTCTATATTTAAGAAATATGTATATACAATGTTAATTTTTATATTATGACTTATGATATTTCAATTGATCCTACAATAAATATATTATATACCCTACCCCCTTTTACATATTTTCATATGTAAAATTCATAAATTTTAGGAGATAAAGTTTGTTTCATATTTTATAAATAAAATATATAGCAATTAAAAAGATAAGATGTAATTAATTATCTTAAACGCAAGTGTAACGATTTTATTAACACATAGCAAACAGCAGTTTGTATTTTTCAGAGATGAAGGGTCGTAGAGATCTAATAGATATGTTAAATAAATATGACAAGATAGAGACATTTTAAATACTAAAATTGAGAGAAAAAATTACTACTGGATATAAGATTTTTTTCAAATAATAAGAACATTACCACATTACATAAGAATCGATTAGGCAACCAGTAATACTAAAGGTTAAAATTCATGTGTTTATTTTCAATTGAACTCTTCTAAAATAATTAATTCATGCAATTTTGATTGGATTAGAGTGGTATATTAACTAGTACAAACATTAAAAAACATTGTATTTAAAAAAAATACAATTTTAGTATAAATATACTTGAATCGCACAGTATATCTACGAAAAATAATTTTAAAATGTGTGCTCACAATATATTTGTTAAAAAAATTAAAATAAAAATATTAAAAAGAAAAATATTTTAATAAGAAATGTATCTTTTATGAAAATGTTAATAAAAAAAGCGTTTGCTCTTGTAAAGACGTTCTGAGGACATACTGTATATAAAGAAAATTCTGCACATAAAAAAGAAAACAATGCATGAAGTGCATTGCTCTCTGTGTTAAAGAAACAAACTTTATCACTAAAATTTAAGTCCAAATAGATATAAACATAAATGTTTTAAAATCATATAAATTGATTAAAAACATCTGTGTTAGGGTACCAAAAATAATTATCAAAAAGAAAAAACTATATGAACACAAGTATCCAAAATTAATTTTGTAAAAAAATTATTTAAAAAAAAAATAAACACTAATAAATCATTTCTACTGGGGGGCTTGACATTAGTATTCAATAATCACATTTCATTTTTATGAAAAAATATTAAATTGACCATTAACTATTAAATTATCATCCGGTTGAAGATATAGTTAGTTAAATTATATAAAATTTAGTTTTGCGTTAATACAATAAATGAGATATTAAAAAACAAACTTTAAAACCAAAATAATACTTGTGTTCATAGGGCTATAGTGACGCAGCTGCGCAAGTATAAAAATTATAATTTTGATAATATGGAATAAACTTAGAGAAGCTTAGGAAAATATAAATAATACAAGATAAACATAAATTGGAAATGATACAAGCCTATAAAGATTGTTTTTTAATTCTTTTAAAAAATACCTTTGACGAAATCCAGAATACAAATTATAGTTATTTAATAACAATTTAATGATTGAACTAATGGAAGTAAATATAAGATAGGTGAGATTGAAAAAAGCTTGAGATGAAAAATTATAACAGATTAGTATCATGTTGCTCAACATATAGATTATTGCATTGATTTGAATGATTTAAAATTAATCAAACGTCCCTCAAACTAGAGGCAACACAAAGCATAAATATAAAGACAATATCAACAGAGATAATGGTCCTATTCATAAAATAAGGTGTATTGCTCTTAACTAGTGTTTTATATTGCAAAAACTTAAGAAAAAAAGGTTTCTATCCAGATTATCAAAATTTTACAAAAAATTAACATTAAAATGACGCCTGATATAATTATATAGTAAGAGGATAAAAACCAATAAACAAATTTATTGAAACAATAACACTATTAATGAAGCTAACGAACCTTGGTGAAGCATTGAGGAGTATTGAGTCTGCTTTATGTTGAGAGAAAGAGGAAAGTGAGGAGTAGGAGCAACTGTTGATATCCATTGTTAAGAAAATGCAGAGATATCTAAAAAATAAAATAAAATAATATTAAAAAAGGAATAAAACGATCTATGTAAAAATGAAAATAAATATATTTTTATTAATGCAATAACTATGTTTTTAAATTAATAATTTGTATATACCCTATGAGAAAAAAAAACAGCATTATAGTGGCTTTTGAAATAACAATTGATGACAATTATTTCTGCCAGGTAGACCACAATATATCATTTATAAAAATTGGTATAAAAATTAAAGAATGAAATGTTAAAAAAATTCAAAGCTCATATTTTTTTAAATTAAGGTTTTCACCCTTGAATAATAATTGGTATGTTTGAAACCTTTTTGGTTTTTTTAATTTAAATATTATTTCTGACAAGTTTTTATATCAATTTTTAATAAATGACATATAGGAATAGACGTTGACGTCAGAGACCTGTGCAGCTTGAATATTATGAAAACTTATCATAATTTTCAAGCTTGTCGATGAAATTTAGTAAGAAAAAAAAAAGAGATAAATAACTTACCAGTGATGAAGGACTGCGACCACACTAACAGCTATTAAGTACAGTCCTAAATGGTCTTTCTGAGTCTTTTCCTGCAAGTTTCATTCCATTTAAAGCTTTTTGATGTCCACCATAATATTTGCAGATAGTACGGCTTGTGGATTTTTAACAGCAATTGTCCCAGCGTATACCTAAAATTCCAAAAAATATTAAATAAATTTTTACTATACTAATTTTGGAAGATTTCTGAAAACAAGATTAATAAAAACAAAACAAAAAAGATTAATTATAAATTATATTTATTAAAATATGTATATAGTATTTATTGCGTTTATTCTAGTGGGAACATTAATATATCGTCAATGTGTGTGTGACGAGTTCTGTAATTTTAAACCAGTTTTGAATAGCGAATGTTGACAATTTGGCGAAGGATTTATTAAATAGTTAATTGTGTGCTGTAATCAGTATAAATTGTGAGAAAATAAATCCGTTAAGTATTTTTATCGTGAGTTTAAATTAGTGGACAAACAGAGAATCCGTAACAATATGCAACCAGTAATACAGTATCAGCATTTTATTTTGTCCTGCCTATTTTTAATAGTTGTTGGCTTTTCTAATATTGGAACAAAAGCGCTTGTATATATTTAAAAAAAATTCAAGCTGTCCAATGCAATTTTATAAGATAGATAAATAACTTACCATTGATGAAGAACTGGATCCCCTCTAACAGCTATTAAGTAACAGCAGTTCAAAATGGCTTTCCTTGATTTCTTCTGCACAAGTTTTATTCCATTTAAATCTCTTTTATGACCACCATACATATTATTTGCAGCTAGTATGTCTTATAGGTTTCTAATAGCAATAGTCCTATGTATGCCTAAATAAAAAAAATATATATTATGTAATTTTTTATTATAGCAATTTTTGAAGCTATCAGAAAACAGACAATAACATAAATTATGTTAATATTTAGAACTATGTAACATAACAAAAAAATAATAGACATTTTTTATATTAATTTGAATAAGTTATAGTTATATAAAATTAAAAAAAAACTTTTATTGATAACTTCAGAAATGATATAAAAAATTGTAAAATTCCTTCATAAGAAAATAAAACATTATTATAATGAGTTAATAATAATAAATTATTAATAATAACAAAAAAGCTTGAATATGATGGACAAT